AACAACAACAACAACAACAACAACAACAACAACAACAACAACAACAACAACAACAACCAACAACCAACAACCAACAACCAACAACCAACAACCAACAACCAACAACCAACAACCAACAACCAACAACCAACAACAGCAGCAGCAGCAGCAGCAACAACAACAACAACAACAACAACACCAACAACAACAGCAACAACAGCAACAACAGCAACAGCAACAACAGCAACAACAACAACAACAACAACAACAACAACAACAACAACAACAACAGCAAACACACCACCAACACCAACTCCAACACCAACACCAGCAACAACAACAAACAACCGACAACCGACAACCAACAACCAACAACCGACAACCGACAACCAACAACCAAAATAAGAACCACAACCACAACAACAACAACAGCAGCAGCAACAACAACAACGACGCCAACGCCAACGCCAACACCAGAAACAACAACGCGCCAACACTGCGGAAACGCGCACAGCTAATAATAGCGTTTGCGGAGCGTCAAAAACAGTGGTTTTACTGCGCAAAAAAAAGCATCGCACCCACCACGAGAGCCTCTTAACTCCACGACGGATCGGCCTATACATCCGTCAAAAACACGCTTTTCGCCGAGGCTCAACGCTCGGCGAGAATTTGACCTTTCACACAAACCTGCCACGTGCAACCAGGTCCACACAAAAAACACCGGATCATCCAAGGTGCATGAGCCCATGCGCCACGCTGTGTTTTTTCAACCTCTATGCTTCGCTCAGTGAAAAAGGCCAATCGAGATCCTTCAAAGGATTCCATAACTTAGGTGGCAGACAGCCAAGCGCTCCGACTCTGTGCTGAGCGTGTGCTGAGCGTTTTTGTGCTTACCAGTTGCCACACATAGATACAGTGCGAAGCAGGTGCTCTTGAGCGGGTGCGCTTTCCAGGTGCCACACGGATGCTGAGCGGGCGCTCTTGCGAGAATTTTTCCAGTTGCCATGCATGGAACACAGTTTGCTTGAGCGGGTGTGCGTATCAGTTGCCACACATGGATAGAGTGCTTTCCAGTGCCACACATGGATACAGCGCTGAGCGGGTGCTCTTGAGCTGGGGTGCTTACCAGTCGACTGACACGAAATGCTGCGCCTGCCAAAGGAAATGCACATGCTTGACAAACAGCACGAAATCCTGCACCTGCCAGCGAAAATACACCTGCTGTGAAGCAGCTAAAGCACGGTTACGTGGGGTTGGAGCCGAAAACAACAACCAACAACAGCCAACAACAGCCAACAACAGCCAACAACAGCCAACAACAACCAACAACAACCAACAACAACAAGAACAACAAGAACAACAACAACAACAACAACAACCAACCACAACATCATCAACAACCAACAACAACCAAAAACAACCAACAACAACCAACAACAGCCAACAACAGCCAACAACAAGAACAACAAGAACAAGAACAACAACAACCACAACCACAACAACAACAACGACGACGATGACGACGACGACGACAACAACAACAAGAACAAGAACAACCAACAGCAACCAACAACAAACAGCAACAACAACAACAACAACAACAACAACAACAACAACAACAACAACAACAACAACAACAACAACAACAACGCCAACACCAGCAACAACAACGCGCCAACACCGCGTAAACGAGCACAGCTAATAATAGCGTTTGCGGAGCGTCAAAAACAGTGGTTTTACTGCGCAAAAAAACATCCCACCCACCACGAGAGCCTCTTAACTCCACGACGGATCGGCCTATACATCCGTCAAAAAAACGCTTTTCGCCGAGGCGCAACGCTCGGCGAGAATTTGATCTTACACACAAACCTGCCACGTGCAACCAGATCCACACAGAAAAACACCTTATCATCCAAGCTGCATGAGCCCGTGCGCCACGCTGTGTGTTTTCAACCTCTATGCTTCGCTCAGTGAAAAAGGCCAATCGCGATCCTTCAAAGGATTCCATAACTTAGGTGGCGGACAGCCAAGTGCTCCGACTCCGTGCTGAGCCTTTTTGCGCTTACCAGTTGCCACACATAAATACAGTGCGAAGCAGGTGCTCTTGAGCGGGTGCACTTACCAGTTGCCACACGGATACAGTGCTGGGCGGGTGCTCTTGAGCGTGTGCTTACCAGTTGCGACACACATAGATGCGGGTTGAGCGGGTGCTCTTGAGCGGGTGTGCTTTTGAGCAGGTGTGCTTACCAGTTGCCACACATGGATACAGTGCTGAGAGGGCACTCTAGAGCGGGCGTGCTTACCAGTGCCACACTTGGATACAGTCTTACCAGCCTGTGGATACACACAAAAATGCAGTGCTGAGCGGGTGCTCTTGAGCCGGGTGCTGAGCGGGTGCTCTTACCAGTTGCCACAGTTTTCTACAGCGAGTGCTCTTGAGCAGGTGTGCTTGTTGCCACGCATGGATAGAATGCTGAGCGGGTGCTCTTGAGAGGGTGTGCTTACCGGAATGCAGTGCTTGTTACCAGTCGACTGACACGAAAAGCTGCGCCTGCCACACGAAATGCACATGCTTGACAAACAGCACGAAAAGCTGCGCTGGTCACGCGAAACAGACAAGCTTGCGCAGAGCAGAAACGCATGATCCGCGGCTTTCCTGCCGCGAGCGCCTGCGCAGTCGAAATGACGTTTTTAGCTCCAACATGCACGAAACGGTGAACCTGCCAACGAAAATGCACTTGCTGTGAAGCAGCTAAAGCGCGCGTTTACGTGGGGTTGGAGCCAACAACAACAACCAACAACAGCCAACAACAACCAACAACAACCAACAACGACCAACAACAACCAACAACAACCAACAACAACCGACAACAGCCAACAGCAGCACCAACAACCAACGGCAACGGCAACAGCAACAGTAGCAACAACAGCAACAGCAACAACAACAGCAACAACAACACCACCACCACCAACAACACCACCACCACCAACAACAAAACAAGAACAAACAACACAAAACACACACACAACACAAACACAAAATCAAACAAACAAGCGAACCAACACAAACAAGGATACAACCACACAAACACACAAACACGCGCTCACACACACAGAGACACACACACAGACACGCAAAGACACGTAGACAGACACACACACACAGACACAGACAGAGACACAGGCACACAGGCACACAGACACAGGCACACACACAAACACAGACACACACACAAAAACAAACTCCCACACACACAAAAACACGCAAACAAAGACACACACACACACAGACGCACACACACACACACACACGCACACGCACACGCACATGCACACGCACACGCACACGCACACGCACACGCACATGCACACGCACGCACGCACGCACGCACGCACACACGCACACGGGCACACGCCACACGGGCACACGCGCACAAGCGCACGCGCACGATTGCGCGCACTCACACACACCCGCATACCCGCACACCCGCACACCCGCACACCCGCACACCCGCATACCCGCACACCCGCACACCCGCACACGGGCACACACCCACACACGCGCAGACGCGCAGACGCGCAGACGCGCCCCCGCTCAGACGCGCAGACCACACGCACACACACACACACCCACACACACACACACGCACACGCACACACACACGCAAAGGCAAACGCAAACGCAAAACGCCCACGCACACACGCACACACACACACAAACGAACACACCGCGCAAGTCACACACGCACACACAACACACAAAACACAAACACAAACACAAACACAAACACAAACACAAACACAAACACAAACACAAACACAAACACAAACACAAACACAAACACAAACACAAACACAAACACAAACACAACACAAACACAAACACAAACACAAACACAAACACAAACACACACACACACACACACAAACACACACACACACACACACACAACACACACACACACACACACACACACACACACACACACACACACACACACACACACACACACACACACACACACACACACACACACACACGCACCACACACACATGCAACAAGCACACACCGACAAGCAAACACACAGCAAAACCCACCAACACACACACGCACACACGTACAAAAACAAACGTGCAAGCAAACACAAATACAACCACAAACGGGCGCACACAAGCGCAAACACAACCACAACAACGCGCGCACAAACACAAGCACACAAACACAACCACACGAACACAACCACACAAACACACAACCGCACACACAGAAACACAGAAGCGCACACAGAAACAGAGACACAGAGGCACACAGGCACACAGACATGCAGATACACAGAAACAGCGCGCACAGACACGCAGGCACGCAGACACACAGACAGACAGACAGACACAGACACACACACACACATTGACACCGGCGCGCACACACAGACAGACATAGACAGACACACACAGACATAAACACAAAGAGGGACAGACACACGCAGACACAGACGCACACAAACACAAACACACACAGACACAGAGACACCAAGAGACACCGCCACACGCAGACACAGACAAACACACGCACACAGACACAAAGAGACTCACAGACACACAGACACAGCCACACCAAGACAAAGATTCAGACACACTGAGATGCAGACACAGACACAGACAGACGCAGACACACACACAGACACACAGAGACGCAGAGACACACACACAAACACTGAGACACAGCCCTCAAGAAATGGAGGGTGATGCATCTATTTTCCCTCAACACCAAACACACACTCTTTTTTTTCGGAAGCAACCAGGGACTCACAGACACGGACAGACACAGACACACAAAGACACAGACACACCAAGGTACAGACACTTACAGACACAGACACAGACAGACGGAGAAGCAGAGACGCAGAAACCCAGACACACACAGACACACACAGACACACACACACACAACCATAAGCACACATGGACAAACACACTGATAAACGCACCCAACGCGGCGTAACATGTCGCCGTCTGCCCATCCTGTTGGGCCAGGCGAGAGCATTGCGCCACGCCACGTGCACGGAAGAGTCCAGGTAGAAGCCGTTGAAGTCCAAAAATTCTATGGAGGTAATGTTCCTCTGGATGCGAAGTACCCGAGCGAAACCAAAGGGTGGAAATGACAGAACACCTTACAGGGGATAGTTCTGAGACCCCATGGAGGTCCTCAAAATGAGTTTGGGGAACAGAATGTAGGGCAACACTTTGTTCATGACTTTGTCCTCTTGGGCCAGTGTTGCACTCTTCACGGTTTTTGTCGGTTTTTGTCGTTTTTTGTCGGTTTCTGTCGGTTTTTGTCGGCTTTTGTCGGGAACTTGTCATTTTCAGCGTTTGGCTTTCGCTCTTGTTCGCTCGTTGTTGTCTTAGTTGTGTGACGTTTGTTGCTAGGTTTTGTTTGTTATTATTGTTCATCAACAATGTGTGTTGTTTGTTCCTGTCTTTGTTTGTTTGTTCGCTTGTTTGTTTGCTTTGTTTGTTTGGGTTTTGGTTGGGTGGTAAGTATATTCTGGCCTCTTCGACGAGCCTAATCACAATCCGTAATCCGCTTTCTCCGCGTTGTAGCTGGTAAACCCCCTAATCCGTAGTTTTTCGCCATTCCAAGTGGGCCTGACAAAGCCTCATACCAGTACCAGGCATCCACGACTCCATCCTAGAAAAATGACCCCACTGGCACCCTTTCACTTGCCTAGTGTCATTTTCGGGCTGCCGAGCCGTAAAAAGCTGAAAAGCAGTTCCCTCACAATGTAGTGGAGTGTCCTACACCAAAACGGTCTAATCCGTAAACCGCGCAATTCGCAATCCGCTAATCATTGGGGATTAGGTTTGGGACAGGTTAGATGTATGTATTGTGAACATGTATCTATGTGTCTGTCATGTATCTGTGTAAGTTTGTGCTAGGTGTGTACGTATGTAAGTATGTATGTATGTATGTATGTATGTATGTATGTATGTAATAGTCTAGTATGTATGTATGTATGTATGTGTGCGTATGTCTGTATGTATGCATGTAATAGTCTAGTATGTATGTATGTACGTGTGTGTGTATGTATGTATGTATGTGTGTGTGTGTGCGAGTGTATGATGTTTGTGTAAAGTGCTGAAACTGCAATGTGGTTAAAAATATGTCAATAGGCGTGACTTTGCCGGGGAGATCCAGACGTGAGATGCCGCAGTTGAGTTTAATTTTCCCCCGGCCTTCTGGCTCGGTGACTCCGGTCTCGGAGTCGGCTGTCTCCTCATCCTTGGCAACAGAGAGCGTTCCCTGCTGCTGTCCCGCCGCGTTTCCGCAGCTTTCGTGCGGCTTCACGATCTTCTGCAGATAGGCGATGCTGTTGGTGTGGATGCCAGGTTGGGGGGTCCGGGTGGCGGTTTTAAATTGGAGCTCGCCGAGCCTTGTCAGTTCGGAAAACCAACGTGCGCACGCACTCGTATCATCGTGGACTTCTGTGGAAGCAGGAGGAGTCCGCCAACAGATTGCTGGCGAACTCCCGGCTGAATCTGGATGCTCCCTAGAGACCAAAGGCCTGGGCCACCAACTAAATTCCACAGTGAGTGAGTCCACTGCCAGCAGGTCGATGATCCGTCATGGCCGTGTCATGCTTCCAATGGAAGAGAAGTCGCATGCCAAAACGTGGCAGTTCGGGCGGTCCTCGGCATTGCTCAGCAAGGGCCTGCTGGCTGCAGCTGAGGTGGTTGCCGGACGGGAGCTGCTGGCCATCGAAGACATTGGTGAGGACTTGCTGCCGAGCACGACATCCCTGACCCACACCCAGGGCGCGGCAGAGAAGGTCGCTCAAATGGTCGATGGCTGCACGAGCATTCTGCGTGGCACGCTTGCCTCATAGACTGGCACCCCAAGCCCGTGGTCCTAGTGGTGGATCTCAATGCTCACACTCACACAGGTGACCTTGGCCGGGCAGTGATCAGGGAGAATTTCCTGCAGAGCATGGGCGGCATGAATCTGTTCTACCTGGGCCTCCATTCCTGCCAGACTGAGGCCAGCTGTAAAGCACAACCTGGATGGAAAAGCTTGCCTTTGCTGACCGACTGGTTTGGAACGACATTCCTCTGGCCATCTGCTACCAGTACGGGTCGTCTCCGCCCGAAGTGCTGCACTTGGTCCTGGTGCGCAACTCACACAGTTGGCAGGTGCAGGCGGAGGACCTCGGTGACCTCCCTCCTAAAGTGCTTCCAGAGTGCTTGACGAGGCGCGACGGAGAGACTCCGGCTCTCTTGTGGCCGCGACATGGTTTTCCCGCAGTGGGTTTTGGGACCTTATCGTGGAATGCTGAGACTGTGGTCTATAAAATCTGGGAGAGTCTTTGTTTTGCATGCGGACTCTTCGGAAGTGCAGCGCCACCCACGCCTCCCTATTGCTGTCTGGCCGGTGGAACAGTTTCGTTTCAATGAGTGGACAGATGCACCCCGGTATTCACTCAGCCCCGTTGCAATGCACATGGAGGGGACTGAGTCTCCCGACTTTGATCGTCCGGATTTCGCCCCGGACGTAAGGGATCTCACGGCTTTCGGTTTTGATGCGGCACAAGCCCTGGAGGATTGTAGTCCTACCGGAGCCTTCGGTTTTTCATAGATTGCTCAAGCCTAGTCGGCTCAGTATTGTTGTAGTGATCACAGTGCGGTCTCATGTCCGGCCCCGTCAGGCGGATTGGGCCTTGCAGCATCACACCGAGAGGTTGGCTGAGCAGATCCTCAGTGGCGCCTTCAAGCCATTTGTCAGCTTGCCAGAAAGGAGACGCGTGTAAGTCGTTTTTGTTGTCACTTTCGAATCCTCTTTTGTGACCTTTGAGTTGTTTGGCTGGTGTGGGGGGGGGGGGGGCTGTAACAGCAACGTCGCAGGGCGAGGCTCTTGCAGCTGCCCAGCCACCACCGCCCCACCTCTCCTTGCTGGCTTGCGCCAAGACCCCACCAAAGTCTTGGCCGCCTACGGTGAGTTCCGGGAGTTCTTGCAGAAGATGCGAGCAGAGCACCCGTTGGACATCCCCCCCCAGACACGCGGCTCTGAGAACAATGAAGATGACGGCGCCAAGAACAAGAAGAGAAGGACATCCGGGTCAGGCAATGACACTTGCCGCCTACTACAAAGAGAAGTTCTGTGATCAAGGCGAAGAGGGCCCTCAGCCCAGCCGATGCTCATGTCTCTTACCACCGTGACGGATGCGCCAACCCAGACAGAGCCAGCAGCATTCAAGCTGGCTCTGAAGCAATTGGCTTCGGTGTACTTCAAGGCGGCAGACTTTCCTGCCAAGGTGAGCAAGTCGGAGAATGACAGTGCGGAGGATGACGGGTTGCTGAAGATCCCGGCGGCGCACATGGCCGGCCAAGTACGTTGCCATGGTCTGGGCCACGAAGTGGCCGGCAGTTGCCTCAAAAGCCAATTCGGTCAATGGTTGTCAGCTCAGCCAACCTGACAATCCCTCCTGGCAAGGTACTTCAGATTGTGAAGCCTGAGTAGGCTCCAAGCTAGAATTGAGCTTGGCCCAAAAAAAATAACAGTTGAGCTGCTGGCTGCGCAACCAAGACCTCCTGTGCTTGAAAGAGAATCAGTCATGACGGCCACATCATGATCTGTGAGCCCAAAAAACATCACAATGTCACATAGTGCCCAGCAACAGGTGCATTTGGAGTTGACCACTTGGCTTTGGTTGCTGGCCATGTTTGGAACTTTGTGAATCAATCAGCAGTCTGCGCCAACCTTGTCGAGTGCCATCATGCTGCGACGGCATGTGAAGCAGCAACTTGAAAGCTAGAATTTGAGAGCGTCTGAGAATCGAAAGCTACTTACTGGCCACACAGCTGGGGAAGCACTTGCTCACCAGACAATTCCTGTGTCACACTGACTGAGACTCATCATCAGCGCATCGTGGGAAAACAATTTGCTGATAATCGTGTTTCAGAAGGTGCTGCAGGCATCATGCGATTGTTTTGCTGATACGTGGTACGCATTCATCTGAAAATCGTCAGGTCTGACCGTATTGCCCCTGAGCAATGTCACGTGCCTGCCGTAGTTTCAAGGCATATTGTCTCTGACCCTGATGTCCCTTTGCCAGTGAATGAATAAGGCTGTCAACACGCGTGGACCTTATCTTGTCTTGTTCCAGGCAGGACGAAGTTTGTGGCAAGTTGTCAACTTCTCCTGGTAGTCTTGGCCTTGAACTGAAAAGCTCTTCCAAACTGCGTGTGGTGCAGCTGAGAGTGTTTTCTGAAATGTGCACTTGCATTGTGTGTTCCTGAAATTCTCTTGCAGGATTCTTCTTTGGCTGCTAAGAGACATCATCACCATCACCATCATCAGCAAGGAGCGCTAGCCCCAGCCTTCGTGTCGAGGAAACGGTTGCCATGGGACCACTTGGCACTTGTGTGAGGCATCCGAGCAGGCTCAGACACAGCTGAGCAGCAGCGTTAGCTCCACAGACAGATGAACAGCCTTAGCTGCACTACAGCACTACTTGCTACTTCACAAAAGATCATCTCGGGCCACAGCGCCTCGAAGTGCATTTGAGCCATGGCGTTTTCCGCTGGCACCATCGTCCGGACCAGTGGCTCGTCCTGGCGCCTCGGAGGTAACCGCCCTGCGCTACAGGACAAGCAAATTGCCTGGTCGCCCTTGCACGGAGCCTGGACACCCGGCCTCAATTGTTAAGTAGATTGTCAGGGCGCTTTTTGGTCTTTAAGACTCTTTTTTTGCTAGAGCCCAGAGAAGTGAGCGGTGACCGCCAGCATCTCTACATCAAGGACTTTCATTGCACCTTCTGCAATGTTGAAGTCCCAAACCATTTGGGAGATTGAGGACAAGATCTCGGCAAATCTGTCGGAGAAGGAGAAGGAGATTATGAGATCGACAGAAGTGAGCGGACTGGAATCCTCGAGTTTCCGATTCGAACTTGTGACGGTTAACGCAGCCGAGAAGTCTTGGACATCAAAAGAGGTGCACTCGATCGCGTTGGAACCCCGTGACCGCTTGTCCGGCTCGGTGGTCCACGGTCCGCGTGGACGATGTGATGGAATACCACTGCGACCAATGCAAACATGGGAGAGAAGGAGATCTTGCGAACAACGGC